TACTTAGAGGTATCACATGAAGTTTGATAATTTCTTTTATATACAATGGGCTAACTTCTCAATAGAATACTGAGCTCTAATTGGTAGAATATGTACAGATTTGGTTAACCGATCAATGATTACCCAAATTGCATCATATCCATCTTGGATTATTGGTAAACCCATCACAAATCATTGGCTGCACTTTCCCACTTTCACTCTGGTATGTCTAATGATTGAAGTAATCTTGAAGGTTTTTGATGTTCAATTTTTTCTTTTTGACAGACTAAACATTTTAAAACATATATATTCAACAATATCATTGTTCATTCTTGGCCCCAAAAACATCTTTTTCAAATCCCGATACATTTTAGTTGAATCAGGGTTAATTATGAACTTCATCTAAAACTTTTTTCTTCAACTCTTCCTTCCTAGGTACAACAATCCTTCCTAGAAATTTTACTAAATCATCTTTCTCTTTCGTAAATCCTTCATGCTCAAAATATTTTTCTAACTTAGACTCTTCCTGCCGAGCTTCTCTAATTTTGTCTATAAGCTCATTATCCACTTTTATTTCACTAATACTCAAACTTTGATCAGTTAACGCAGTCACAAAGAAACTCATATCCCTACAATTTTCTAATAATTTTATTTCTTAATCATTAAATATGACATGTGAAGAGATTTTCTGCTTAAAGCATCAGCCACCACATTTGTTTTTCTTGGATGGTATTTAAGTTCAAAATCATAATATTTCAAAAATTCCATTCATCTTCTTTGCCTCATATTCAATTCTTGTTTATCAAATAAACATTTAAGACTCTTATGATCACTAAAAATCTTAAATTTGGCTCCATACAAATAATGTTTCCAAATCTTAAGTGCAAAAACGACCGTAGCTAATTCTAAGTCATGAGTTGGATATTTTTTCTCATAAGATCTCAGTTGTCTTGATTAGGGGTGGAAAAAAGGAGCCAACCCGTCGGGTTGGCTCGTAACCCGCACAAAACGAGCCGGGTTGGGTTGGCAAAAATGAGCTGCCAGCTCGATTTAGCCAGACCCGAGCCAACCCGAGCTCAAACGAGCCAGCTCGCGGGTTACTTTTTTTTTTTTTAATAAAATACAATGGACTTTATTAATGGATTCTCCACTGATGGACTTTACTATATTGGTCGCTTTTGCAGGTCCTTTTTTTATGATTGGCTTTTGATTCCAGATGCTTATCGTTGAAATATATAATGGATTTCTTTTAATTCTTATTTTTTGGCTTTATATATGTTTTAGGGTTATCGTGAGTTAGAGTAATTCAGAAAATCATAATAATTGACTCCTGTGATTCGTGGAGTGGTTTGTGTTTCATTTAATGTTTTTGGATTTTGTAAACTACTCTACTTGTAGTTGGACTGCAAAATACAATAATTTTATACAGGAGAACAAACCACAAAAATTAAATTCTTTGAGCCAACCCGCGAGCCAACCCACTAGCATCATTTCGAGCTAACTCGCGAGCCTTTTTTGAGCCAACCCGTGAGCTTTTTTACGAGCCAACCCGCGAGCTGATTATCGAGCCAACCTTAACCGGGCTCGGGTCGAGCCGGGTTGGGTTTTCTGGCTCGTTTTTTTTTTCCGAGCCAACCCGACCCGACCCATTTTTTTCGGGCTAATGCGGGCCGGGTCGAGCCGGGTTGGCCCGTTTTGCCAACCCTAGTCTTGATCTATAAGCTATAACTTTTCTTTCTTGCATTAAAACATCCTAATCCTTTTCTAGATGCATCACTGTAAACCTCATAATTTTTGTGTTATATTTAAATTAAGTGTGTGTGTGTGTCTATATATATATATATATAGGGTTAGGATCATTTTACACTAGTGTAAGTTACACTCTCAATCTTGTGCATTGATCCCACTTATATCTAAGGGCTCTAATTTTTTAGTAATGTGAGTCATTCGATATAAGTGGATCAATGGTAAAAATTGAGTGTAAGACTTCTAACTCTTACACTGGTGTAAGAATATCTGCCTCATGTATATATATATATATATATATATTTGAGTTTATTGTTTCTCTTGCCACAGGAGATGTAAAGTTATCTTTTACAATACCAAAATAATGTCGTTTTGATGGTTAAGAGAATTAATGAATGATGTTTTGGTAAAATTCATATAATAAACAAATAAAATTACTGAAACACCTTTCATTAATTTTTATATCCCTCAAAACAACATAATTTTGGAATTGCAGGAGGTAAAATTATCTCAGATAATAGAAGAAACAATAAACTCATATATATATATATATATATATATATATATATATATATATATATATGGGGTTTGCATGCATCATGTCACATGAAAAGAGAGAGTTTCCTACACATACAACATTTTGTGGGGCCTTATTTTTTGAAGAAAAAAAAAACTAAGGTACAGAAAACGAATCTCTACAACATGACAAGTTCAATTTTTCTACAACATAACTTTTATAAAAACCTATATATATATATATATATATATATATATATATATATATTAAATTGCAAGTTTGGGCATAATTTGTTGCTTGACCAAAATGGTATTTAAAAATAAATTAATTTACCAAACGATGGTAGCTGGATTTGAGGAAGTGAGAGTAACAGTGTTCGATCCTCTCAGTACTATTTTTTGAAGGAATTTAAAGCCTTAATTTTGAATCTGGCCCGAACAAAATTGCTTTCCATGAAAAATACTTGTGGCTTATCTAAAAAAAATTGATTTATAAAAAATATAATAAAAAAACAATTTACCGGTATGAAGTTGTTACGGGCATGAGATGCGTCAGGAAACAAAAAAGAAATGAAGCTGTCAGGTGAATACTGAATAGTGCGGAAGACTGACCATTTTGCCACACTTGGCAAAAAAATTTACCAGACTGCCACGCCAACAGTAAATTTTGCCAAAATGCAAAGCTGCACCCTTAGCCGTCGTTGAAGAAGTCTGAAAATAATTAAGTGTTAAAATAAGATAATGCGAATTAGTTATATTTTCAGACTTCTTCAACGACGGCTAAGGGTGCAGTGTGACATTTTGGCAAAATTTACTGTTGGCGTGACAGTCTGGTAAATTTTTTTTTGCCAAGTGTGGCAAAATGGTCACACTTCCGAATAGTGCTGGGAAATAGAGGTGGCAAAGTGGGCGCCCCGCCCCACCCCGCCATCAACCCACTAAAAAATGAGTCAGCCCGCCCCGCCCCGCTTTTGAAAGTGGGCTCAAAAACTCAGCCCGCCCTGCCCCGTTTGACGGGTTGGGCGGGTTGGCCTGCCAGCCCGAACCTATTTTACACTGACCCGCGCTCGGCCCGCCTATGCCCGCCATCGACCAGCCAAAAAATGAGTCCGTCCCGCTTTTGAGATGAGTTGAAAAACTCAGTCCGTCCTGTCCCGTTTAACGAATTGAGCAAATTGACCCGCCGAGTCGAGTCCGTTTTGCTGGCTCTACTAGGAAATAGCGCGTCCCTTTGCGCTAGCATGGCATAAAATAAGCATGCATTTTCCTTCTCCTGAAAATTAAACTAATCTTGTAGAGAAATACACGTTACTAACACAGTTACCCCTGAAAAGCAGTGCCAAGAAGGAGACATGAAAATAGGAAAAGGTAAAAAATTTCCTCCTTTTTTCATTGTGAAAAATAAGTACAAAAGAAAAATGCAAAATAGTTAGACTGACATCTACTTAATTAGGTTATAAAAAAAACAATTATTAAACTATTAAATGGATACACAATTTATATATGTAATATATGAGAAAGGTGGATTGAAAGAGTATTTTTATTAATCGTTGATGTATATATATATATACCTTGGTGTCTTATTTCAACATGATACAAATAGAGTTTTATTAATGTCATGTTAAAGGAGATAAGTTATCTCATGTCATAGAGACAAATTTGTGGGCTCTACCACCTGAAAAAAAAAAAGATGGCACAGTTATCGAATGATGTGTAGGAGAGAAAGTTATCACATGTAGCATAAGAGTAATTTTTCCCATTCAAATATTTAAATTTTACCGTGTCCATACTACCCATTCAATGACTTTGGCACCAAAATAAAATGAGTTAATTTTAACATGAATTTATACTAGTAATTAATTATGATCTTACTTAATAATAATATATGATTTTTAAATTAATCTTGTTATATGTTATTTAATATCATTAGATAATGTGAAACAATTAACTATTAATGATAAGAGATAAGGGGTGATAAAGTGATAACTATTAATTTTTTTTTGGAAATATTCCATCGGTTCATCGTTTCGCGATTAGTCCGATTCGAGGCGGGTCTAAGATTAAGGCTTTAAACCCCTCCCAAAAGTGGTACTAGGGAGGTTCGAACACATGCCCTCACCCCCACCTGCTCAGCTCCCATACTCACGAATGATTAAGATTTTTTTATCTTATCATGTTAAATAACAAGAGTATATGTTCCTAGTTTTTATATATCAAAATTTGCAATTTAATATATAATCGATTAATATTTTTTATCATCATATTAATATGCTGTTTGTCAGTTCTTTAAATGGTATAAAAGAGACTCAAAGTGTAATAGTGTGAGAAATTTTTTTTTTTTTTTTTTTAATTTTACCTAGTTGAATGTTAAAAAAAAAATCCTTCTTTTAAGTTGTAGCCTTGTAGGTATCACTGCCACTACTAGGAACTCTATTCTCAACTTAATTGCTCTTTTCTTGCTTGTGCCGTTTCACTTGCTAGAAGTCCGAAATGATTAGCCAAAGTATTATTAATAACCTAGAAGAGCTCAAAAGATTGTCACAGTATGACTGAAACCTCGATTCCTTCTGATGGCATGGTCTGGAGACCCTCGAAATTGCAAGCTTTCAATAAATTGAAAGTTAGTTGTGGAATCTTAATTTGCATACATCTTTCGCATTTAATTATCCAACTGCAACCCCTTGAATCTGCCCTTATATATACATGAAAAAAATAGCCTCTCCCATTCATATAACAATTCGAATACAATATATTGTAACATGGCTTCCTCTTCCATCACCAAATTGAGCCTGAAACTTCTCATTGACACGAAGCGTGAGAAAGTTCTGTTCGCTGAAGCATCGAAAGCGGTCATAGATTTTCTCTTTAACTTGCTGTGCTTGCCTGTTGGAGCTGTAGTAAGGCTCCTAAACAAGAATGGCATGGTTGGTAGCATAGGCAATCTCTACGAGAGTGTTAAGAATCTCGACGAGACATACATGCAACCGAACCAAGATAAGGATGTTCTCTTGAAACCAAGAGCTCCTATCTCTTCAACTGAAATTTCTGGCCTTCTTTCCTCAAATGAGGACAATGCTGATGGCAATTTAGAAACTTCATTCTACATGTGCCCTTGTCGCTGTAACTACAACGTGACATGTGTTAATAACACTCCTTGTCCTCAGTGCAGGAGGGCTATGAATGCTGAAGTAAGTTATGTTGGTAGGAAGGTTGCGGAGGAGAGATTTTCCGAGAATGGGTTTGTTAAAGAGGTGGTAACTTACATGGTGATGGATGATTTGGTTGTTCAGCCCATGTCAACCATATCAAGTATTACATTGCTCAACAAGTTCAATATCAAAGAGGTTGGTATTTTGAAGGAAAGGGTGGTTGAGATGGGGATGACTGAGGTATGTCATGGTTATTAATGTAAAAGGATCATAGTTCTTACCTAGCTAAAATTAAATATATTTTAAATCTTAATTATTTGTATTTTTTTAAATATATAAGAGCATGTCATATATGTGAATCTTTTTGTGCCATTTACAGATACTGTACCTAGTAACAATTTGTTTATTGATAATGCCTTTTTGTCTTTTCTTAACAGGGAATCAATCTGCTGAAGGCTTCTCTTCAATCCGAGTCTGTTTTGACAAGTGTTTTTCTCAAGAAGAATAAGGGAGCACAAGGATTCAAATGAACCTTTCCCGAGCTCTAAAATGTTAAGAATGTACGGCATTTTGGTTTTGAAATGTTACATCTTTATTTGTGTTGCTTTCTGCTTTTTATCGAATGAATATTTTCAATAGACTCCCTGGTTGTATTGTAGTTGTTCTATCGCGGTTTTTAAACAATCTTATCACGTTACTTGCAATTACCATCAAGTTATAACATCTAGAGTTTCAGGTTTTTTAAAAGTATTAAAATTTCTTAGAAAGCTATGATAATTATTAAGTATACATCAAAGTCGTGTATTTATAAGTATTTTATTTTTTATAAGTTGATGACAATGCGAAGTTGTAATTACCACTCCTGAATGGGCCTTCTGATCGATATATCTTTTCTGCTAAATTCCAACCGTTATAAATAAAATCCCTATAAATATATAGGGGCCTCGTATGCTGTTTTCAGTGGCAAAGAGTAATTCGAGTTATATTTTGGTTTTGCATCTACCAAAGTCTTAAGGCTTGTCAAATGATACGACACTTGCGGCAAAACTATGACGAGGATGTTCTCTCGATACAATTAATACAATTATTTGTAATCGTGATCATCTAAATTGTTGTTGTTACTTGTTAGAGTTAAATATAAAACCATTAATTAAAGAATTTAAGAAAGAGCCCTCACTTTATCTTAAATTAGTTCTTTACATAGTATTAGAGTTTTGGTGTTTCGAGTTCGATCCTCGTTGCCCTAATTTTTTGTGTGAAATTTCTTAATACAAGTAGGCTAGGCTTGATGTATCATCTACCTTTCAAGCCCAATGAATTTTCTTGTGAGAGGGCGTGTTAGATTAAAATATAAAACTATTAAAGAGGCCCTTACTTAATATGTTAAGCTTTTGGGTTAATTTGATTCTTTATAATTCTTTGCTTACTTATTCCTTCTTCTTTTTTGGTATCCTGTATGCGGAGGAACCCCCAACAGGCTAAGAGGAAACAATAGAACGAGGTCTACCTACAACACCTAAATAAGCTAAATACAAAAAATGTGTACTGTAACACCTAAATAAGCTAAATACAAAAAATAATTAAATACCGAGGGTGGGAGGATAGAGGTCTTCTTGAGTCTGGTACTCTAGCGGGAGATTAGACAGCCAATTTGAACAATTCCCTTCTCTATACATGTGATTAATCTTCACAACCCAATCCCTCTCCATCCATGCCCAAATACGAATAACAAAGTGAGACTCATAGACTATCTTATCTCTAGCAGTAAGTCATGTGACAACAATGCAGAGTCCCTTTCAATAATCATCCTTCTCCAACCTCCCTTCTAAACCATTTGGATACCCTGTATCCTCCACAATTCATAGACTATCTGTTTACATATTTAAATTTTAAATGTTTAATTACTTTTTCCGATTAAAAAATCAATGTAAAGATAAAATAAATAATACTAATAAAAATTTTAAAGTAAGTAAATATAAAAAGGAAATGTAATTCTCATTATATGTTTAGGTTAAAAAAAAGAAGAAAACTAACAGCTATGAGATTTTTATTACTGTAATTAACCTTTTGTATCAATCAAAAAAATTATGAATAAGTATGTATTAAATTTATAAGATGTAATTATTAATTTTGAAATATAAGTAGAAATAATATGAACTTAAAATACTTTAAGTTTTGCATAAAAAATAAAATTTATAAATATGATTTATCAAAAATATAAATATTAAAAGTTCCATTTAAAATATTATTTTTATAAATACTTAAGGTTGTTAAGTTTATAATTAGTCCAACACAAAAAAATGGAGTAAGATGTAATTTATGACCAAAATTTAAATTTAAATGTTATTTATATAAACCTCAAGATGTAATATATATGTTTAATTTATGACCATTTTGTACTAGTTGTCTGGTCTTTACTTAATTGTGTGACAATTTAATGCACCGTTTGGCAGACACCAAGTAGCAGCTTAGGTCGCTGAAACAGATTCGTGTTGATGATCTAATAACTCTTCTTCTTTTGTACTGGACAGCAGTGTTAGAAGAAAGCTACAAGAAGACCAATAGTTCAGTCAGATTTCACCTTCTAAGTATATTCTCATATTAGTGCACCACCAAGAAACAAGTTGGACCATTATCACATTCTTAAATTTCCTCCATCTACCGATCCCGCAATGAAGAATTGAAGACAGCCTCCTTCTAACGTTTGCATTGTGACTACGATGCTCCATGACTGTAGGAGAGCATACATACTCTCTTTTTTTTTTGGGAAATAAAAAAAAAATTAAGTGAGGTTAAACACCACCAGTATCCCACTAAAATTAGAAAAGACCCCAACCTCTTTGAAAATTTTTAAGAGGTATTACATATCATCCACACTCTTATAAAATATCAACCAAACCCTTACGCCTTACGCAATTGTGACCACTTTTTTTTTTTAAAAGCATACATTATATATATCCTTCAACCTAGAATATCTCTTGAGAGCGTTTGTACTAGTCCCGAAACAGCTATTCCTTTCGTTGAGCTGTCACTTGGATGAAAAAACAAATTTTTCCTCTCCTCCATACAAACAAGCTAGAAAATACTCAATTTTTATTGACTTGAACCACTTAATCATAGATGAATCCGGATCATATTAAATATTTCCCTACTCTCCCTTGTAGAAGGCTTCAGCAACTGCATGTTTGAGACACGGTAATAAAAGCATTTTTGAGACACACGTGTAATAAAAAAATCACAACCCAGTTGGTTATCAGTTGAAACCAGCATTACCTATCCTGTAATGATAACACCCGTGGTTCATAAAGTCAACATTTTGTTTATAAAGCTAACTACTTATTCCCTCTGCCTTAACTATCCCTACCCCCATACCTTAATAATTACACCCTCGGTTCATAAAGTTAACATTTTGGAAGTCAATTCCTTATTTTCTGTGAGGAGGTATTCCTTTACTAAAATAAATAAATAAATTAAAATGTCAATAATTATAAAAGAATGGATAAAATGGGTAATAATAGTTATTTGACTTTTTTTTTTAAAATTTAGTAAAAGATATACCAAAACTTGAATTTATGATGGGTACGGGTATTTGGCTTGATCATAGATTCCAAAAGGCATTTACTCCTTCTCATGTATGAATATTTTTTGTTGGTTTCTCATATATTATTAGTTATTATGTTGTTAGTTATGAAGGTGCAAAGAGATTTCTACTATAAAATTAATTGAAATTTGTATTAGTTTAAATTTGATTTTTATATTATTCAATTACGTATTGTTACATAATTAGACAAATTTAATTTCTTTATTAATTATTGTCTAAATTATTTTTTTAATGATATGATGAAACATAATTAAATAGTATTATAATTAAATTAAACTAAAATCTTCTAATAAATTTTATAGTATTAGAAATGTGTTATTTGATCTAATTGCATATAATCTAATTTTGATATACTTTATATGATTCAATAAATTTTTGGTGTTAAAAAACAAATGAACTTACTCAAACTACCATTAAAAAGTCGTTTATGATGCTAATACTAAAATTCATCTTCCTTCTTTGAGATACACCAAAAGGTATTGCCATAGAATACACAAGCGAACAAAAGAAAACAAAATAACATAAAGGGCTGTTAACCCTGGAACCTGAATTTACAGTTGAAAGTTGAAACGCAAGATCCAGACCAGATTTTGGAGTTAAAGATTGCTAACTTAGGATCCGAATGAGACGTTGCTAATAACGTATTATTATTTTTTTTTTAATTTGAAAGCAGATTTTGTTAAAATGAATGGGCAGCCTAAGAAGAAAAATAAGAAATAATTTTTATTTTTAATTTTTTTCTGACAACAATTTTGTTTTAAAATTCTTCTTAAATGCAGAAATAAAAAATATATCTTTTTAGAAATAGAAAAAAGGAACGATTATTATACACACCCTTAATAACAAAGTGAATTTAGAGTAAACAATAATAAAATCCCCAGAAACACGAGATACTATCATACAAAGTGGATTAATCAAGGTGTCAGAAACACGAGATACTATCATACAAAGACTATTGTCAGAAGGAAAAGAGGTAGAATCGTGGAACTCAAGGATGATAATGGAAGTTGGATTCGTGAAGAGGAAGGCCTGGTTAAGATGATCTGCGATTTTTATATTAATCTTTTCAAAGATGAAAGCTGTCATCGTGAGTGGATCAATACTAGATGGCCTATTGTTCCTGAGGAAGTCATGGATAAATTAAGGGTGAGTGTTACTAAGGAGGAAGTTAAAAAAGTTTTTTTCACAATGAAAGGCTCAAAAGCCCCAGGGGAGGATGGGTACATAGCTGCTTTTTATCAAAAGAACTAGAATCTGGTAGGTGATCAAGTCTGGAATGCTTTCCTAGCTTATTTGGAAAACCCGCAAACCATTGCTGATATTAATGGTACGATTATTACCCTTATCCCAAAGGTTAATAAGCCTACGTTGGTTTCTCAATTCAGGCCAATTTCCTTGTGCAATGTGATTTATAAAGGCATGAGTAAAGTTATAGTGGGTAGACTGAAGGAAGTAATGGAAGCTTTGGTTTCTGATAACCAAACCAGCTTTGTCCCAAACAGAAACTTGCAGAATAACATTATTGAAGCTAAAGAGATTGTCCATTCGATGACAAAGTTTAAAGGTAAGATGGGTACTATGGCCATTAAAATTGATTTAGAGAAAGCCTATGATAAGCTGAATTGATCGTTTATTCGTAAGGTTATCTCTGAAATACAGCTTCCGTCTTGGATGGTTGAATTCATTATGGCGTCTATCACAATTAATAGTTTCAAAGTGCTTGTGAATGGGGGCTTGACTGAAACTATTATTCCTGAACGTGGAATTCGACAGGGTGATCCATTATCCCCATACATCTTTGTCTTATGTGTTAAAAAGCTATCTCATCTTATTGCTCAAATGGTTGGCAGTGGTGTGTGGAAACCGATCAGAGTGTGTAGAGGTGGTCCAGCAGTCTCCCATCTCATGTTTGCAGATGATATTGTCCTT